AAATTAAGAATTATAAGAAAAGAGAATATAATAAGAATATGAGAAAAATATAAAATTTATATTTCCATTCAAAAAGAATTTTAATTTATATACAATTAAAGAAAATTTATTATATATATCTACAGTAAATAAATAAAAGATTCAATACTTAAAAAGACATCAGAGTTTGCAACTACAAAGAAAATCAAGTAAATCTCTTCATACTTACTTTCTCCATCTAAAAATGGATAACATAGTTTAAGAAGCATTTATGTTTAACCCTTCTTTTCTCAACTTTTTATTTAACAGAAAAATTCCCATAAGTTTTAACCCTTTGCTCTAATGAGCCATTAATCATCATTTTTTTGGGTTTAAACTAAGCCCCTTTTGCCTCTCTGTTGTAAGAACCCATAACTTTTTTTTTTTTTTTTTTTTTTTTTTAAGAACCCATAACTTTTTTTTTTTTTTTTTTTTGCTTTCTAACTCATAGATTTTTGCTCCATTTTTTGGAGAAATCGACATATTTTCTTGTTAACTTAGGGATTTTATTTAAAAAAAAAAGAAAGGTGAGGGCATCTTCGAAAAAAGGAGTAAATTCAGAGGGCTTAGCTGTCAAAAAAAGAAAATTTAGAGATTCTTACAAGAGAGGGGTAGAACGTGAGGACTTCTTTGTTAAAAATCGAAAGTTGAATTTTCTCATTGTTTATCGATTGCTTCAATTGGCAGAGGCTCCAAGTCATATCATAATTATTCGAGTTTCATAATAAATGGAAACTAGAATTTCAATAAAATGGGGAAAAAAACCAATCTGATAATTAATTAAAGTAATCCCACCAGATTGCTTCTTTAGGCCTTCACTTGATTTCAGCTAGGTTTTGACTTGAAAGATTCTAGAGTTTTTTTTTTCACTGACATTTCTATCTAGATATTTTAGGATACCTCCAGCTTGTGGAGGGTCCTATAGTGAAATAATAAACTATTAATTAAAAAATTCCTCTTTTAACTTTATTTCTCTAGTTCCTAATAATTACTATTATGGGGCTACTTCAATCGACTTGGTTAACTTTTTTTTTCCGACTTGGTGATTTCCGAGCCCAAAAAAAAAAGTATGGACTTCACTCTAGTATAAATAAATAGAAATCACTTAATTTAATTCAAAAATTAAATAATTAGCCCGTTGCTTTTGGAATCCAAAAGTATGCATGACATATAGCCTTATCCCTTTAGAAAAAGAATGGTACCAACATTTTGTTTTCCAATTGGTAAATATAGAATTTGATTATGGAAGATTACATGCTTCCTTTTGCAAGGAAAAATCTAATGTATTTAGTCCGTTAGTTTGAACTAATTGACGACCCTTTGATTGTCCTATTTGACTGGTGAAAATCTACATTTGAGGTTGCCTAAAAATAAAATAGGAAATATTAGATTCACGAGTTCATACTAGGATTTTAGAGTGGGATTTATAGATTCAAGTCGGCGATCGTGGAAGACCCCTTTACTTGAGTATGGGATAACTTTTTTTTTGAAAAATGATACAGGCACACCCTCAGGCACACCACCAACCACACCCCCTCTCTATCTACAGTGCATGGGGCTTCACATCAGATTTTTTTAAAAAATTTGATGTGGGATCCCCTGCACTGTAGATAGAGAGGGAGTGTGGTTGGTGGTGTGTCTGAAGGTGTGCCTGTAGCGCTTCCCCTTTTTTTTAGGGAGTACCTGTGTCATCATCCTAATGGGCAAGGTAGTTATGAAAGTCACTTGGTTAAGAAATCCACATAAAACTCTTTTTGAATATTAGGGGATGTTCGTTTGGCAAAAAAAACTGGTAAATCAAAAAATAGGAAACCTAATTCCTATTATAATTATTTTGAAGTTGTTTGGTTGGCTTAAAAAAGAAGGAAATTATAGAATAGGAGATGAGATGAGTTGTCACCTTATTATTGGATGATGTGAGTGATTTTTTAAAAAACTTATTTTGAGGTTGTTTGGTTGGTTAAAAAAATAAGAAAATGAATTGGAGGTATATTATTGAATGATGTTTTGAGGTTGTTTGTGTTTGGTTCGTTTTTAAAAATAAGAAAATAGATGAGATGAGATGAGTTGGAGGTATATTATTGGATGATGTGACACGTACTTAAGAAAATTGATTTCTTGTTTTTTTTTTTTTAGGAAATGGATAGAAAGGAATGTTTAATGAGATGAGATGAGTTGTCATAATATTATTGGATGATGTGTGTGATTTTTAAAAATAAGATAAAATGAGATGTGATGAGTTGGATGATGTGACACATTTCTTGTGTTTGGTTTATTTTTAAAGGTAATAAAGAAGATGAAATGAGATGAGTTGAAGGATAAAAATAATATTTTATTGGATGTTGTGGGTGAGTTGTAGGGATGGAAATGGATAAAAATATTATTTTATTGATTTTCTTGTACCGGTTTTCTTTTCTTGGTTTTTAGGAAACCAACCAAACAGCCCCTTAAGGATATTGTATGATTTGACTCAATCATCCCTTATTTAAAAAGATAGCCATAGAGCTAGGTTGGGCTAGAGCGAGTCATGATTTGAACTGAGGTCAGTCCATCATTCACGGTCCACCACTGCCTTAACCAGGCTTGTTGATCGAGCTAAGAGCTGTATTTTGATAATACAACTTAGTGCATATGTCCTACACATGATAAAGTGAGTCAATTACTTAGTTGCTGAGCCAAATGCTTATGTGGTGTGGTTCGCCTAATTCAAATATCAAATCTAAGTTTTATGCATAACTACATTCAAATTTTTGACTACTAACCTAGAATCTTATAAAAATGCACTTCAATTTTTACCACTCAATTAAAAAAAATTGTGAGAAAAACAGTTCTGTACAAAAGGAACAACTTGCCTTTAACTTTATGAATGAAGCTCTTCAAAAAGAAAAAAGATTTTTTATTTCTAAAAACAAGATTTTAAATAATAATAAAATGCCCAATTTTTTACTTTCTGACACTTGGCAGATTTTAAAAGGAGAAATTTTTAAAAGAGTCATTTTTCAATTTTATTGGGCAGAATCGACCCCATGAGAAAAAAATTAGCAAAACCGACCGAAAAGGGTCGGTTTTGCAACCAGCTCTATTATCGAGCTGCACGGGACTAGTAATCCCGTGCAGTTCGCCTACCCCCGTGATCCTTCTTTCATTCGCTCTTCGACACCTCGTGACCACCCTCCCCCGCAAAAAAGAACCCTAGCCCTAGAAAAGGGTCGGTTTTGCAACCAGCTCTATTATCGAGCTGCACGGGACTAGTAATCCCGTGCAGTTCGCCTACCCCCGTGATCCTTCTTTCATTCGCTCTTCGACACCTCGTGACCACCCTCCCCCGCAAAAAAGAACCCCATCGACCCCCACCGACCCCACACCCTCAGGTGTGATTTTTTTTAATTTTGCTGTTAATTTTTGAGAGGGATATTCATCAAATTTTGCTAGAATTGGGTGAATAATGTGATTTGGGAGGTAGGGTTTAGTTTAGCAATTATTTACATATGAGAGGGTTTAGCAATTATTTACATATGAGAGGGTTTAGCAATTATTTTTGAGAGGGATACTCATCAAATTTTGCTAGAATTGGGGGAATAATGTTTTGGCTGTTAATTTTGCTGTTAATTTTGCTAGAATTGGGTAGGATTAGTTTTTATTTTGTGCAATAGGATGAATAATGTGATTTGGGAGTTAGGGTTTAGTAATTATTTACATATGATGAATAATAATTAGGGGTTTAGCCATTATTTGGAATTTATTCAGATATTAATAGATTATTTGCATATGATGGACTGTGTATTTTCAGTTTCGATGACGAACTCCATATCCATTATTTGTTTCTTTAATGGGAGCCTCGGCGTCGGAGTGAATAATTTGCCGGTGTATGATGGAGGTTCTCGGAAAATGTTCATGCTATCTAAGTCGTGTAATTTTGATGGAATGACTAGGGAAATACACAGAGTTACTAAAATTAAGAAAGAAGAATATACAATTAAGGTGTTCTTCAACTG